TCTATCAATGCCATTTGTTTTTTAAGTGCCGTCAACTGACACACACCTCGCTTACATATTTTTCTTCTCCACTCAGTCTTAGGAATATAAACGCTGCATCCATGAATCTTGACAAACGCTGCATCCATGAATCTTGACATAGGAACCAGTATTGCGCTGGTCGCGGCTTGCACGGAAAAAAAAAAATTAGAAGGCTGTGCAAAAAAAAAAAAAAAAGAAAATCGCGTCACGGGATTTCATTTTCGTACAATCTCGTAAATCCTAAATGCTGCTGTGTGCTCATTTCATAACACGTTTCTAGAACGCACGAGTTCTTGAAGCTTGCTTCCATCGGAATGAGAAAAGAAAAGGCTGTGGAGTTTGATAATAATGCATCCGGTTTCGTATACGCACTTAGAAGCTAACATATTTGTGAGACAGCGAACTCCTCTATTTTAATATTTATCCTATTACGTCCTTCTGGCGTTGCGTTCGGTGAAGTGTTTTTCATATTCCGTATCTTGTTTAATGAAAACTTATTTAAGGGTCTAGTTTGGGTTACCGAAGGCTAGTTCAAATAAAGAAAGCTGTATTTTCTCCCCACTGTTCCTTCAATTGCTTACACGCCGAGGTGGCGGGATAGTTAGCGAGTTCTACTTGTAAGTGGGTTTGTAAGGAGGTCGCGGATTTTACAGCTACTGCGTCGGACCTAATTAGATGAAGTCCGAATGCGCAAACGTCGGTGAGGTAACCTTTGAGTGCACATAAAAAAACCATTCCTGGTAGAAATCCCTGAGCCTTACACTACGATGTATCCCGTTTCGTATGTGCTGATTTCAGATGTTTTATTTGTAATTTATATTGATGTTGCAATTTGTCATTTATAATTTCCGAACCGGTTCGCGAACCGGTTCAGCGCCCCAAACCGGTTCGCGAACCGGTTCGCGGATCGAATTAATCGAATCGGAACTGAACCGGAACAAAATAAATTTACCTGAACCTGAACCGTAACCGAACCCGTATTTTTTTCGGTTCGACACACTGATTTTTATTTATTTATTTATCGATACTACTAATCCTCATTGGAGGATTTTTGTAGGGTGGTACAAAAACACAGATGCATAACCATAGTGCAGAAAAAACAGTTATACAGAGGATAGAAAGTATATGAAACAAACGGAGTGGATCAGACATGGTATGTTCACATCATGAGCGCTTCGACATCATCCATGAACTGTTTCAGGGAGCTAGCGTGAAAAACGTGTCGGGGCAAACTGTTCCATTCCTGGACTGCTAGCGGAAAAAATGAAAATTCAAAGTAATTATTTTTAGGTTGGAACTCCCTGAATAATTTCCCATGGTTTGAACGGGTTTCTCTTCCATCGTGGGGAATAAGGTATTTAGATTTTTCTATTTTAGTCAAGTTATTGGCTATTTGGTAAATTAATTTTAATCTCGTGAGCCTAGCTCTTATTTCTAATGGCTGCACGCCGAGCACTCTACACAGCTCAGATGGTGAATCTCGCGTGCCAAACTTATTAGTAATAAACCTTACAGCGAGCCTCTGCACTTTGTCCAATTTTTGTATGTTAGTTCTTGTGAAGGGGAACCAAACAGGGCTGGCATATTCAAGCACAGGCCGAATAAGTGTCGTGTAGGCTAACAGTTTGGTATCGCGGGAAGCGTATTTTAATCGCCTTCTTATGCACCATAATTTCGTTAGCGCTTTTTTGGTCACTGCGTCTATGTGCATGCCCCATTCAAGATCACTTGTGAACAGGACACCTAAGTACTTGAACTCATGAACGTTTTGTATACTGTTTCCATTGATCTTATAAGATTGATTAAATATGTTTTTTTTCCTACTTATGGACATGGCTACTGTTTTGTCTTTATTAATAAGCATCTGCCATTCTTTACACCAGTCTGAGATCTTGTCTAGCGCGCTTTGTATTTTTAAGTGGTCCGAAGAATTTGTTATTTCAGAATATATTATGCAATCGTCAGCAAAGAGTCTAACGTTGATGTCGATGTTATCAGTTATATCATGAATATAGAGCAGGAAGAGAAGGGGGGAGAGTACTGAACCTTGAGGTACTCCTGAACACACGGCCTTATTAGCTGAGCTATTTACGTCAATTTTCACGATTTGAGATCGTCCAGAGAGGTAGTCTTTAATCCAATTTACAACTTGTCCGTCGCCTAGGATTTTCGTTAACTTGAAAATTAGTTTGTTGTGGGAGACTCTGTCAAACGCTTTTGACAAGTCTAGAAAGATGACATCCACTTGGCTTCTTCGGTTTATAACCGAGGAAAAGTCATGCACGCTTTCAATTAACTGGGTGATGGTTGACAATCCGGATCGAAAACCGTGCTGGCATACACCTAAAACGTTGTTTTCTTCGACGAAACCAGTGATATGCTTTAGGATAACATGTTCCAATAATTTGCAACATGTTGATGTAAGTGAAATGGGCCTATAGTTTGAAATGCTCTCTCTGATGCCCGATTTATGAATTGGGATAACTTTAGCTTGCTTCCAGTCGGGTGGAATTTTTTATTCTTGCAGCGATTTCCTATATATTAGTGATAAGTATTTTGATACCCATTCTGCGTACCTTATCAGAAATGCGTTTGTAATATTATCTGGCCCTGCAATTATTTAGGGTCAAGATTAAGAAGAGAGAGTATGCCGGCCTCAGATATTGTTATGTTGCCCCCGGTATCTTGTAATTGCCTATTCATGTAGGGTGGCATAACGCCGTTGTCGCGTATAGAAACTGAAAGGAAATAATCATTGAAGTTGTTAGCCTTGTCCGGGCTATTGACGATTTCTGTATCGTTTATTCCCTTTGCGCGCGGATTTATATACCTCCAAAATTTATCTGGGGCTGTTCTGATGAAGGAATAAAGAGTTTCGTTGTAAAACTTCTTTTTAGCGCAATTTATTTTGCTCCCGAGTTCTTTAGTTAAGTTCGTGATTTGTTCTTTCTTCGATGCACCTTTCGTAATCTTTGTTTGCTTTCGGAGTCTGTTAATTTTGCGCTTAGTATGAATAATTTCACGCGTTATCCAAGGATTTCGCTTAGCGGTTCTTTTGATTTTAGTTGGAATATAGATATTCATACAATGGGAAATTATTGACTTGAAGGAATTCCAAAGGTCATTTGTGGAACTATCTGATCGTAGGGAAAGTTCATAAAAAGGGTCAAAGTAAAAATCGAAACAATCCAGGATGGCTACATCATTAGCACGATTTAAGTCTAAAACTTGAATAACTTTGCTTGTATTTTTTGGCACCGTATATAGTCTAAGCGAGGCTACCACAATGTCATGGTCAGATATTCCGTCAACGATGTTCACGTCTAGTTCTTTTAGAAAGTAGCCGCTCACGAATATCAGGTCCAGGACACTCTGCGAAGAAGCCTGTGTACGCGTAAAGTCTGACACAATCTGGGTCAACTCATAACTAAAGCAAATATCGCACATAGGATTTGTTCCGTCAAGGCATGCTAAGGGGTCTTGAGGTTCGGGCCAAGTAATTTCAGGCAGGTTGAAATCGCCCGCCAGTTTTATTTTATCATTTGGCTGTACGTTCGATTGCGTGTACTTATACAGAATGTTAAAAAATCAGCAGTTTCGTTTGGAGGCCTGTAAGTAGCACCAACGTACAGGGTAAAATCATTAAAGCAAAGTCTACACCATAATGATTCAACGCCTGTCACGTCCGGCATCAGCGTGGCTTTAAAACACGTTTTGTACAAGATAGCTATCCCACCGCCGCGTGACTGTCGATCTTTTCTTATTACTAAGTAGTTGGGTATATCAAGCTCGTTATCTTGAATATGCGACGAAAGCCAGGTTTCCATCACTATCAAAACATCTGAATCGTGGGTCATGGTTATGGCTTCAAGCTTTTCCAATTTGTTCAACAGGCGTTAACGTTTAGTATTTTTATTGCAGACTTTTTAGTATCATCCCTCGGACGCCGTCATTTGTGGGTACTGCTTCCAGGCAGGGGAGTGATGTCGTTTTTGTTTTCATCCCATGCGTACATTTCGTCATTTATTTTCACTTTGTCGAAGCGTAGAGTGACCTTATCTCCGGACGTTTTGTTTGGTTTCGTTCGCTCTAGCATCTTTTTTTTTCTGACTTCTTGTACGTTTTTCGAAAAGTCTTCGTTTATCAAGAATTTGGATCTTTTAAGCTTCTGACAGTTTCGTAGGATTTTCATTTTGTCTCGAAAATCTAAAAGTTTCAAGGTGACGGGGCGGGGATTTTCAAGCGAGACACATTAGTAACAAGATAATAAAGATTAACGGCCCTTATTTTTTGTTTCACCAAATTAACAACCTTGTTGAAACTAATTAAAAAGTGGCACCTCATGACAAAATATGGTCTTCGTCATCGTAGGTTGCGCCATAAAGCAAACCTGGCTCAAGAGTTGTATTTAAGACGAATACGGTACAAAAGAAGTATGAAGTTGATGTTGCTCTTCGTCGGGTGTGATACGCAGAGAAATATGGTACAAATAAAATGTATACCTTATACGCTTACTATATGTCGCTAATTTATATGTCAGCTGGAGTGAATGATAATGCTTTATTTGTACACGGACCATGGAATATACGAAGGATTTTGCTTAGAGTTGCGTGTTTGCGTGTTATTAGAATAAGAATCGTGTCTTGGCAAGGAACCGTTCTTACGCATAAAAAAAGTTCAGGCGAGGAAAGATAATCTGCTAGTTTATGCAAATTTGTGCTTATAAACCGGTTTCTGGAACAGCGTTCACCATTCCCAAATCAATTTTATATTCACCCTTCTTGTATGCGAAGCTTTACCAGAGGATATCTAAGTGCTCCTCAATAATTGTTTCCTCATAAATAAAAACAAATAAAGCAGACGAAAAAAGAAACGGATATTGCGTGACTAGAAGGTCAGGTGAATCTATGGCGTCGTGCTGCGGAAAGCATACGAGGATCACAACGCTGTTTTTTCTTCGCCGCATGCATGCAGATAACATGCCTTGGTGTGCCTTTGTGCTGATGTTTAACTTCATAGTCACTTCGGGAGCAGTCGCCGGCCAAGAAAGACCGACGGTACACACCGATTCCGGAATAGTTGTTGGAGAACGTTTGACAGTCCGCGCAGGAGATGTGGACGCCTTCTACGGAATTCCTTACGCGGTGCCACCTTTGGGAGACCTTCGGTTCAGAAAACCAGTGCCTTTCAAGTCTTGGCAAGGCGTGTATCAGGCAACAAGTAAACCCAAGCCTTGTGTGCAGATGGACATTGATATCATGGAGGTGGCGCCTTTAAATTACTCCGGCTCTCAGGAAGATTGTCTCTACCTCAACATCTGGAGATCATCCAAGCTATGCTCTGCGGCTGTGAAGTGCAGTAAGAAACAGGCGGTCGTAGTCTACATTCACGGTGGAGCATTCCAGTGGGGGGACTCTTCTCTATTTTTATACGACGGAAGTAACTTCGCTGCGTCGTCGGAGGTTCTGTTCGTAAGCTTCAATTACCGGGTCGGTATTTTCGGATTTTTGTCGATTGGAAGGCCGGAGCTGCCTGGCAACATGGGACTTTGGGACCAGAGTCTGGCGCTCGAGTGGGTTCGGACCAACATCGGTTACTTTGGCGGAGACCCGAACCATTTAACATTGTGGGGTCAAAGCGCCGGTGCTGCTTCGGCTGGCTACCACGCCCTCTCTCCTCAGAGCAGGGGACTCTTTCAGCAGATCATCATGCAGAGCGGGACCCCCCTCCTGACGATCTCGATGACTTCGCACGATCCAGCGTCGAGATTCTTAGTACTTTCTGGAGCCGTTGGTTGCTACGATGCATCCACCAACTGGAAAACAGAGGTTTCTAGCATAATAGCTTGCTTACAGAGGGTGGACGCTCGCAAGATTATTAATATTATAAGCGAAGATCATCCTCGGAACCAGTATTATATACCAACCAGCGGTGACGATTTCTTACCGATTGATCCCTTCGTTGAAAATGCCTGGCGAGAATTGGGTGCTAAGAAACTGCTAATAGGACGCACGTCAAACGAAGGCACTCTAATGGTACGTTTTTTGACCCAGTCGGTTCCACAACTCCAAAATCTGAACGACTTTGACTACAGATTTTTTCTGAACGTTGTATTCTCGGTCATGTTGAACATACCAGTTTCTGCGGCACGAGATATTGTGAGCGAGTATTTTAGTGATTACGATGTTCAACATGACAACGACACCGTGTATTCCATCATTGGTGAAGTGATGGGGGACGTAATGTTCGACTGCCCGAACAAATATATCGCGATTCAAGCTGCGGCGCAGGGAGTGGACGTCTACATGTACGAGTTCGCCCATCGACCTTCATTCAGTGCCTGGCCTAAGAACTTTGGTGTAACCCACGCCGATGATTTGCCATTTCTACTAGGTACTCTGCAATCTATTTTTCACAATGGTCGAATCTCAGCGGCCCTGCCCGAAGAGGTCCGAAGACATATTCCGGAAGTAAGTTATACGCAGGAAGAGCTTGCTTTCATGGACCAGCTCATGGATATGGTGTCGACTTTCGTAAAGGACGGGTGCGTACGAATTTTGTATTTTTGAATTGAGTGAATTTTACATTGCGCACGATGAGCATTTGGTTTGCGTGTGAGATAATTCAAGGTGAACGAGCACAATGAATATCCCGAAGGACAAGCGTTAGTGGTGCTGGAAAAGGATGCTCAGAAACTATGCGGCGAGCAAGTGTTCCAAAATGCGTTTGTCGCGCATTGAAATGTAAAGGAGGGCCCGCCAATCAAAGGGCAGCCTAGAGAACGCGCGATGACGAGGCAGTCATGCTGGCGCCGTCATTGGACGAGGTCAACGGGAAACAAACGCTCGTGGGCGCACTTGGGGGGAAACGCAGGAGGTACGCACCGACCACGCGAACTTCCTCTCCGTATAGGCTGGAGGGGGCGGGGTTATCTGTAAAATCAATCAGGGCGTTTAGTGTTCGTAGATTTGACTGCACTAACACGGCTTGTTCGCTTAAACCACCACCCATTTATTTCGCCCGTGAACTGAACGTGAACTAGAACACTATCTCAACGTCAGTGGTCAGGTAAATAAATGCCGGCTAGAGAGAGCCTGAATTAATTTCCAACTGCCACGCCCTGCTTGTAAGTAGGTGAAATATATGTTCGTGTTGAATACATACATACCATGCTCCAAATGAATACTTAGGTGCACCTTGTTTTTTTCACATTTATGTTTTACTGTTGGAGAACTTATTTAGTAATTAATTACCTGCACTTACTGAAACAAACGCGCGACTTTACCTGAAGAGACAGCTACCTGAAGGGACAACAACAACAACTGAAAAGACAATGTTTATACAATGGGAAATTAGTTAGCCCCAATAGGCGTCTGGAGTCATCGCTGTAGATGACAATTTTAGCAAGTGCAGTGCCACTGCTGGCTTGGGGTATTTAACATGCCTTACGCGGTAGTGATATCCGATCACACGCCAGCACGATGTTCATCCAGATTGGAATGGGCAGGGGTGCGAATCGAACCCGAAATTCATGAATTCGACTGCGCCAGCTTTCGCTCTACGTGCTCCGAACGGTAACACACTAGGTTTATACTGAAAAAAATTCTGCAGGTGTTTGTTAAAAAAAAAAAAGTATGGCTCGTTAGGATATTGTATTGCCAAGCATCAAACAACCCAGAGATGCCATGCACTATTTCCATGTTGCGCCAGTTCTTGCAACCAGACAAATTAGGCAACAGTGAAAAAGGTCCAACACACAAACAAGCGAAAGGAAGCTGATGAGTCTGTTTTTCGTCAGTTTGGGATAAAGGGTAACTCTGCTTGTGAATTATTATTAATGACGCCACACCGATAGCTTTTTTTTCTGCAAGTTCATGATTGCTTATATTACACTAACTATTTTAAACATTGGCGAGTATAAGTAATATGACGAAATATCGTTCAACGTTATTTTTCTCGACATACTTTTTATTGACAAAAGTTTACGAATATATGTAATGCGATTCATTATGAAAAAAGTATTAAATATGCACAGCTCTTTTTATTTAGGTGGTTTTAAATTGACGCGAGCATGTGCGCTTTTGAACTGCAGTTAATGCCAAATGATGATCCATATAGGTATGCGATTAAAAGCTAACAGCAGAAGTAAAAACATTTTGGTCAAAACTATACCAAGCCAGCTGAGCTGATGATTTTGATATTGACAAGAAAGAGGGTTTTCCAAAACGAACTGATAGCCTTCAAACAGCACGGTATGTAGGAGAAAAAAAAAAAACTGTACAGGAGATGCAGAAGAAATGTTCACACAGCTCCAAGTTGAACACAGCTCTTGAGCACTACCCATGAGAGCGGATATGACCGGTGTCCTACCATGTCAACAAAAAAAAAAAAAGAGAGAAAAAAAAGAAAACGCCCCTTGGGTTGTTTCAGCCAACCGCGATAAATGGTTGAGACTGATTGCTATGAATGGCGCTCATTTAATTTTTTGCCCGAAACAAATGCAGGGATTGTATTGGTAATCTCGCCTTAGATATAGCGACGCATTTGTTTAGGTGGGACCGTGCTGAATTCTGACAACTACTAGATTCAACATGTTTGATCGTGTCTTTTTGTGCCCGGGCTCATGGTTTTGTTTTCAACGTTTTTATTGGCTATTACCGCCTTCCCATTGGCCACGGAGAGATGATAAGATGCCAGAATTCTGTTAGGACCAGCGTCGTTTAAGATGGCAGTGACTATGAAATGATAGCTGTCGGTGACGTGACGCTGGTTTTGAACATATAGTATCATTGTTCGGCTAAAAGGAAGAGCACTGGTATGGATGAACATTTTCTGCCAATTGAATATCGGATAACTGGGTTAAGCAAATCAAAGAAAAGAGTTTATTTTGACACACCAATACATCTGCTACGCAAGTGTAAGAAAAACAAAACAAAAATGCAGTTCTTTTTTGTTGAGTTTTACTTTTACTGTTTGCAGTTTGAACGACCTTGCGGCTTATACCCGCTGTCATTTTTTGTTAGAGGGCGTCGAATGAATGTGATGATTAAGTCGTGACCACCTCGTATGTTGTATAACTTGGTGAAAAATAGGGCTTAATATACCAAATAAATAAAAAGACGAAACAAAAACGAGTATATGCAAGAATGAAAATGTTTTATCAGATAAGGTGAACCATTCTTCTTCTTTTCTTTTTTTTGCGGTGTGAGTCTTGACCTTTTCGGCCTTGAAGGGCAACTCCAGTCGATATGTTAGAATTTGGAATTACGGCTGTTTTTTATTTCATTTTTTATTATTTGGACATACTGGCAGCCGCCTGTTGGCAGCCAAGGCAGGGGTGGGCATAGACAGACATACAAAAAAAGCACGATAACCTAGCGCACAGCAAGCATGCATGACAAATCATTGGCGATCAAAAAAGAAAAAGTGTTCAATCTTGGTAGAAAAAAAAAAGTGGCATCGATTCACTTGACACTATCAGCTTCCGAGTAAACGATACCAATCGCGCACACACATAAAAGACAACAAAAAACAACAGCGGCCATAAAAAAAGAAAAAAAAAAAAAGAGCTCAGTTATTGTCGCTAATTACAACGTAAAAACGCAAAAAAAAAAAAAAAAAAAAAACGAAAAACGAGGAGAACGAAGTAGGAATAAATGCACGAAGCGCTCTAGCCCATTTGCAAATTCTGTTGCATAGTGTCCTTGGATCAAAAGGTATACGCTGAGCAAGTTGTTCCAAAATGCGTCCTTGGCGCATCTCAGCGCAAGCAGGGGCACGCCAATCAAAAGGCAACTATAGACAACGCGCAGGGAGCGAGCGGCAGCGAGCGATCACGAAGCAGCGAAGTGCGCGCCGTCATTGATCGAGGTCTGGGGGAAACAAAGGCACGTGGGCGCATTTGGGGGTAAACAAACGCACGAAGTGCGCAATGAACGGACAAACACTTTGCTTATATTTGTTTTGCTCCATATCGCGTGAAGTTTAGTAAACATCATGGCTCAAAGTTTGATTTTTGGGCCGACAAGGCCGAAGCTATCAAATGGAGAATGTTGACAACACTGATCATCAGCTGTAAGGCGACAACGACGTCACGCTTTTGCTGCGCTTCGTGATACGGCATGGCTGACCGGTAGCGAAGCTATTCATTTTAAGAAGTGAGGTAAGCTGCCTCTCTTGCAGTCTTTTGCAAAGTACACCCTTACAAAAATTATAAATTAGTTTTCTTTAAAGTTTCTCTGTATTCTTATATATTACATAAGAAACTCAGGAGACACTCATTGATAATTTTTGTAAGGGCATATAGAGCGTATATGTGGGAAGCATCCGTGCGTATTCATAAGGTTAGCAGCTGAAAAACGTGTGGTGAATGTAGTCAAATCGGTGCGTATTCATAAGGTCAGAGGCTAAAAAACGAATTCCACGCGCTGCGTACTTGGAGAAAAGAGCACTTTGGGTGCGGACCACTGAAAATGAAAATAAATGATATCAATAGAACGAATTTTAATACTGTAGCATCGTAGGACTGAGCGGTGTGAGTTTCACTGGCTGTCCGGCTGTTTGCACGTACACTCTAAAAAAAAAAAAAAAAGAAGCCCGTTCGTCTGTTTTTTTGCACAACACTCAGAGAGCTAATCACCGTAACTTACGGAGGGAGCTTAGCAAATGACAAGGCAGAACCATATGTTTAGACCAAAAAACGCAGTCTGAGTTGTGACATTAAGCAATGCAAGCCTGACGTTTTGCATTGCTCAATGTCTCAACTCAGACGGCGTTTTTTGGTCTCAACATATATTTCGGCTTTGTCATTCGCTGAGCTGCCTCCGTAAGTTACGTTGATTGGCTCTCCGATGGTTGTGCGGGAAAGTAGACGCACAAACATTTTTTAGCGTGTAGGTGCTTCCGGACTTGTCTACTATAGGCACAAGAGTTTGCGCGGTGGGGTAGTTGACTCTATCGCTAGGTTGATTTAAACGCGCAGTGCCTACGGTGGACGCTCTTGGATGTCGCGTGGTGTAGAGTGTTCATTCTCCGCTCAGGAGACGCTACTTTCTGGGGCAATAGCCAGCATTCTGGGCGTTCATGCGGTGGCGCAGCGCAGAAAAGTACAGCGTGATTCCATAAATAATACATAGGAACACTAATATACAAACAAATATCTCAAAATGAACGGAAACCACGCAAAAAAGAAAACAACAGAAGCAGCTTTAATTACTACTTTACACAATTAAGGAAAGGCATGGAGGAATAATTTAAAGCACCAGTACTACATCATAGCCCAATGTTGCTTGATCAACAGCTAACCCGCAGTCCACCTGCTAAAGAGAAGCTGGCTGCGTCTTTAATATCGCTTTTCACCTAGTAAGCGGCTTCGCTTTGACGTAATAGTTTAGCTGGGATTATATTTCGTGTCGCTAACGCGATAGCAGTAACTAAGTTTGAGCCGATTTTTTTAGCAGAGCTACACTTTAAAGACAGCTGAACAATATATTTTACTGTGTTAAAAACGGTTAATTTATTGGTGACGTCTTTTGTTTTGTTTATGATTGCTAACTTCAAAAAATCCAGAGATGTTTTCTGCAGATCCTCTGCCCTAAGTATTCAAAGTTACCATTGAGCAAAATTCTGCTGCGCTTATTTGAAAACTCGACCCCCCGGGGTCGGCGTCTCACGGATTAAGTAGGGTGGAGGTGCGGACGAGTCAAAATGGCCCTCAGGTGAAGCTATTTCAACATTCTCAGCTTTCACGCAGACCGTAGATTTCCGAGAACCTTGGGTATTCATGTCAAGATCCTCGAGGCAAGAGGTCAGACCTTTGTGCACGCGACGCTAGTCTCCGGCCACTTGCCAACCTCACGAAACCGGTTTTGACCTCGGGCTTCTAATTGTGCTCTTATCAGGAATGGCAGCTTGTTTACCTCTGTGTACGTTTAGAAGACCATTGTGTTGCAACTGTCACAGTCCTCTTTCCCCATGTTTTTTTGTTTATGCGGGTTTGGACAGGTTGGCTAAAACTTAAAATGGGGGAGAAAGAAGGCAATTTGAAAGAGGGAACTAATCTCAGCAACCATTATTCTATTATGGAAGTTTTCTTTTGCTCGCTATGACCGCTGTTCACTTTAGAAAGAAATACCTGCTCGCTACACAGCGGACATGATGAGCGTATCCAAGCCTGTCAAGATCAAAACCGTTTTAACCTGCATTTGCATATTTAGATTCGCGTCAGTTACAGTAGCTGAGACGCCATTGGTTTTTACCACATCTGGATTGGTTGCCGGGAACCGACGGACGGTGAGCCAGCGTGAGGTCGATGTTTTCAGTGGTATTCCGTTCGCACAGCCTCCCGTGGGAAATCTTCGCTTCAGGAAACCAATCCCAGCTGCCTCCTGGAACGTAACGTACAACGCCACGAATAAGCCGACGCCATGCATCCAACTCTACGTGGGCCTCTCTGAAGCAGCTAGTGTCAATTACTCGAATACTTCCGAGGACTGCCTCTATCTGAACATCTGGAGGCCAGCTAGTGTCTGCAACGGATTAACGAAGTGCCGGGCGAGGTTGCCGGTGGTGGTTTTCATTCATGGTGGCGCATTTCAATGGGGAGACTCCTCCCTCCCTGCCTATGACGGCAGCAACTTTGCGGCCACGTGCAACGCCGTTTTCGTGAGTTTTAACTATCGTCTCGGGTTCTTCGGATTTTTGTCACTCGGCACGCCCGAACTTCCCGGTAATGTAGGCCTTTGGGATCAGACCCTTGCGCTGAAGTGGGTGCATGCCAACATAGGCTACTTCGGAGGTGACTCAGAGCACGTGACGCTGTGGGGACACAGCGCTGGAGCTGCGTCCGCAGGATTTCATGCCGTCTCGCCTCATAGTAAAGGCTTGTTTGACAAGCTTATTCTGCAAAGTGGTACCCCTCTTTTTACGATTCTCACAGTGTCTCACAAGCGAGTTGCGAGGTTTTTAGAGATCTCAAGTGCACTTGGATGTTATAACTTCTCAAGGGAGTGGATGTCTCAGGTGCCCGATATGATAGATTGCCTAAGAAAGATAGACGCGCGTGAGATAGTTGAAACAATTTGCGCGGAAGCTCCACTTAGCCGAGTCTACCCTCCGGGCCACGGAGATGCATTTCTGCCAAACGACCCACTAGTGGAGGATTCGTGGGAAAACTTAAACGTCAAGAGCATTTTCGCAGGACACACCTCAAACGAAGGCACACTAGTTGTGCGCTACCTGCGCCAAGTGGTGCCTCAACTGAACAATGTACAGGACAGCGACTACAGGTTCGCGATGACTCTCGTCCTATCGGGTCTTCTGGATATACCTGCCTCGGCTGGAAGAGAAATTATTAAGGCTTATTTCGGGGACTACGACGTTGTTCACGATGACGAAACTGTGTTTGCAATCATGGCCGAGGCCATCGGAGACGTGGTGTTTAACTGCCCGGCAAACTTGTTGACTTCGAAGGCATCGAAGCAGGGAAGAGGCGCTTACAAGTACGTGTTCGCTCATCGACCTTCGTTCAGCCGTTGGCCAACTGATGTTGGAGTGGGCCATGCCGATGACTTGCCCTTTATGCTAGGGTCTCTAGTCACTCTCAGTGGTGCACAGAATCGAGACTCTGCTTTGACGGGACAATCAGCTGACGTGCCCACCCGCACAAAGGTTTCACCGCAAGAGTTGAACTTCACAAACGACCTGCTGCTGCTGATGTCATCTTTCTTAAGAACAGGGTGGGTTTCGGAAGGCTTTATGTTTTTTTGCATAATATGCTTCGGTTAATTTGAGGGTAGCATTACCATTTACATTTATTTATAATATCAAGTTGCATTTTGTTCCTTTGAACTATTTCGTGATGATGTAGAGATGTCTACAATACCCGTATTTGAGAGCAAGAAAGAAATATTATGCACTTCATAAAAAAACGTTCTAAAAACGCATTGAATGCCGCTGAAAGTTCGATTATTTTATTACTGGATGAAACAACTCTGTTTAAAAATTTTTAACGTAAGTGTTCTAACTAGACAAAATAGTTCTTTAAAGCGGATGACATGTTTGTGGTTTATATAGGCAATGCAGCATAACGTTCTATTATTGAGGATCAATATATTGCCTTGACAATTTTACGTCACATGACAAGTTTAGAGAAAAATAAGGCTGTAAAAATATTTAAGCAGTAGGATCTAGTCGGGGGCGTCACTAAGAATCCAAGATCTACTACATCTTGGATGAGTGCTAGCAAGACATTAAAATTGATTACTGGTGACGCTTCTACTAGCTTAAGCGCCTGGAGGAAAAAACCCTGATCGCTGAAGTGAAGTTTGTCAACCTGACCTGGCAGATATCGGAGCCTTTTAAAATCAAAATTAATTATATAAAAAAGTGAAAATATTTAGCAGACGGTAACGGGATGTTTTGCTTCATTTTGCATAATGGGGGCGTGCATTGAAGCCAATGTGAAAAGCGTTTCATGAAGTTCTCCTAAATATGTAAATACACAAATTTCATTAGAGCCAAACGAATAGACGATAATTGTAAAGCACAGACTCCATGGACATATGTTGAATCAACCTTCCTATGTTTTTTTTTTTTTTTTTTTTTTTTTTTAGAAGAAATGTAAATATTTTGGCGAAGAAACACCACGGGAAACGTGACATGAGGTGCCCCGCGCAATTCTCGATTTGGGGGGGGGGGGGGGGGGGTACTTCGACAAATAGATTCTAACGGAGCGACCGCCTCTGTTTGTACTTCTTGAGTACTGACATTAACACCCTCACAATATTCTATCTCTGGCTTTTTCACGTAATTTGCCTAAAACAAACCTAAATCCTATAAGAACATAAAACCAGCATCTTACATAAATTCGTATGCATTTCTGTTTCTACGTCATTAGACACAACATAAATTTACGCTATCTGCGTTATGTGACGTTGATGTGCACGTCATATAATGTAGGCTGAATATCAAACAATGCACCTATGTCCTCATTTTGTTGTGTTTCAAGAACCATCCCACATTAACGCTCGAGCTTTTCTATGCTGTACAGCGTCCGAGTCCCTTGTCACTCCTATTTAGCCATACCACAATATCAAGCGCCGTTCATTCCATTTCAACCATTTTTAGCTTAATAATGTATTCAATATGAAAAAAAAACAAAACATTTCAGACCTTATAAACTGGTTAGTCAGGATTACAGACAATTCTATTTTTACTTGCTGCTAGATTTAGTCCACTATTATTTGTCTTGCAACTCCATTATTTTTCTTTATTTAGTCTCCAAAACTCGATTGTGTGCCAATAAATGTTTTGAACCACTCTAAATAAGAAGAATAGTTTTTATTTCAGAGCAAGGCAGTTCCGGCCGGTGTTGTTGGTGTTTTATTTTAAGACAAAAACCTCCAATAAATTACTTGGATACCAATATTACAGCTAGTCCCATTCGATAGTGTTCAATACTAGGAAAAACCTTATGTTTACGTTGATATAATAGAAATGATACACTCTACAGAAGTTTCTGTCATGGTTTGAATTATTTAGTTTCTTCAGCATACATCATTTAAGAAGCAACACAACACAGTATCGCTAGACTAGTGCAACACAAAAATGCGCTGCGTTGAATGTGATAATATATGCAACAAGAAACTATCGGGTAATGTAACGTCACTTTCGAATATTTGCTATGTAATTTTATATCGTCATACATTACTATCAATAGTAGACAAAACCAGGAGGTAGGTTTATGTGCTATTGAGTTATATAGCTCAAGATATTGGATAAACAACGGACGATTCATATATTTAATACAACAAGGTTCATATATTCTGGTTGCGCAAAGTGGAAGCACAGACTACTACAGATGCGATAAATCGTCACGCTTAATGTCGCAGAGCGAATTGCCTTTACGCGCGCAACAATGATTCGCGCCTCGTCATTACTGCCGACTTCCGTAGATAGTTATGGTTGAGCATACATGCGTGAATTGTACAGGAAAAATGTGAGCGTTAAAGTGAATACAATAAAAAATACGAGTCACTCGTGTTTTTACTAAGGCAATATCATGCAGATAAATATGCGCGAGGAGTAGCACATTTTTTTTAACTCTACGCAAATAAAAAAAAAGTATTTGTTGAATGTAAAGTAATAATTTCAGTTGACCAGAGCAAAAGCTGAAATATGCATTTGTAACTATCATATTGTAGGCAAATATAATCGTAAAACCAAATTAGGCACGAGACCTTACACAAATACACAGATGCTGAGTTCATATGTAAATATGTTACGCCTTTATTATTTAAAAAAAATTAATAACCTTTTTTATGTTTATTTATTTTGTGCCTACTTTTGTGATATGACATAGCCTGGCGCCAATGGCTTCGTACATTACAACGTTATATTTAAAATTTTTATTAACTCTTAAGAGTTAGCGACTCCCACACGCTACGTAAGAGGTCAGAATTCTTAAGAGTCCAGTATTTCGCTTTCGTTAAGAGTAATTATAATACGCATATTGCCCGGTGACAAATTGCTCGTTAATCAGGAGAATGTTTGCTGCACTCACAATCTTGTTAATCTAACTTCCTCGTGCGGCCTTTGAATCTGCATTTTAGATTCCTTAGTCATGCGGAGAATTATATTGCCTCTGTCTGCCCTCCTATATTGTATGCGACCAAGATTCACGGTCACTCGCTGAGTGTCATTGCAGACCCACTAGGGCCTGGCAAGGTAAAGGAGAAATCTGCGGCCGTGAGTCCCTCGAAGAGTATGCACATGATTCTCCAAGTTCTGATGGTGACATGCGCAACCTCAGTGTTTTATCTCGACCGTGTGTCTTCAAGCGAGCAGCCAGTTGTGCGAATACACTCCGGCATTGTAGAAGGAAGAACACTGAGTGTAGACGGTAGAGACGTGGATGTATTTTACGGAATTCCATATGCCAAGCCACCAGTGGGCGATCTCCGGTTTGCGAAACCCCAGCCTACGGAACCTTGGAATGCAACATTCGTTGCCACGAAAGTGCCTACACCGTGCCTGCAGTTGGACTTCCGTTTTTCGAGCGATATGGTGCTAAATTATTCTAACTCGTCCGAGGACTGCCTGTTTCTGAACATCTGGAGGCCCACGCGAGACTGCGGGCAGGTCGGATCGTGCCAAGTCAAGCTTCCCGTTGTGATTTTTTTGTACGGTGGCGGTTTCCAGTTCGGGGACTCGGGCCTCCGCGTGTACGACGGCAGAAATTTCGCCGCGTTGACGGACGTCGTTTTCGTTTCCTTAAATTACCGCCTTAACATTTTCGGTTTCCTATCTGCGGATTCACCCGCTTTGCCCGGGAACATGGGTCTTTGGGATCAGCTCATGGCATTCAAGTGGGTCAAGAGGAACATCGGTTATTTTGGAGGAAATCCGGACGACATCACGCTCAGTGGTCAGAGTGCCGGGGCCATTGCGGCGGGACTGCATTCCATTTCTCCCCTGAGCAAAGGGCTTTTCAACAGACTCGTCATCGCGAGTGGAACTCCCCTCACGATGATTTTGATGTTGTCATTCAAAGGAATCGGAAAATTTGTGGATATCTCCGTTGCATTGGGTTGCTACGATGTCCGAAAAGACCTACCCACTCAGATTGAAGAAATACTCGTTTGTTTAAAGAAAACTGACGCATCTGTGATTAAGTCGACTCTGAGCAAACTAAATCCGGCAAGAAGAACATTCGTTCCCAGGTATGGCGACGAGATTCTTCCATACGATCCCCTCGAAGATGGCGATTGGAACATTAACGTGAAAGACATTCTTATTGGGACAGTCCAGGACGAGGGAACTTTCATGGTCCATGCACTTCGAAAAACGATTCCATATTTTTTAGACCTCCTGAACTCCGACCACTCGCTCGGTATCTCTCTTGGGCTGAAGGTTATGCTCGATATTCCGATCGCATCTGGGAAAGAAATTGTTAAGATTTACTTCAAGGGGTACAGTGATAACCCTGACAACGAAACGCTTGTGAAAATCTTGTCGGAAATCATCGGCGATGCTGGCTTCGTGTGCCCCACCAACTTGTTTGCCGAGAAGGCTGCTCAACAAGGCGTCAATACGTACCGATACGTGATCGCGTACAGGGCATCCTACAGTGTATGGCCAAAATGGATCGGCGTCGGACACGGCTCTGAAATACCCATGTTGTTGGGATCTCTGCCCATATTCGTCAACGAGCCTCGATTTAACGCACCTCGCGAGGAGCGGGAGCTTCTTTTGAAGAAAATGCGATATTCTGAAGACGATATGACTTTTATGCATCAACTTCTTGGGACTTTGTACTCATTCGTTCACGAAGGGTTTGTATTTTTACATTTTCACTGCTCAGAATAGACGCCATTCTGAGACATCCGAATAATACGAAAAATAACAATATTAATACGAAGACGCGGCGCACTAAGAAAAAGTTGTGACAGCTTAAAAAGTACAGGACGTGGAGAGCACAGAACACCTTCTTATCGCTCCTCAGCCAAGGGGATTGCGGAATGAGATGTTAAGAACACATAACAAAAAATCCCAAAGCAAAAATCCCAAAGCGTGAACATTATAAGGCAGGCAAGACCGATGTTTCTTAAGCTTTGTCACTATAGCATGACTTCAAATTTATGCGAAGTGATCTAGGTATAACAAAGACGCACTGCTTAGACATCTTTGTTTCAGTACTATAATAACATTGAGTCTAAGCTTTGAATTCACGGCGAAATTCGAAAAGAGAGACGAATAGAATACGTTCGTTAACACGCCTAAGCCGGTAGAATCGGAGAGGCTCATGACATGTTGATTTCTACATGCGTCCGTCGATTATGTGACGTGCAATATATCCGATCTGAGTGGGACGGATGACCTAACTGCCGCTCAGAAGGACACCACCATTTTTTCCGAGGTCTAGCTGTAATGAATTGGAGAACTCGAATGGAAGTTTTATACTCGTGAAAGGCGCGAAACAAGAAAACAAAATAAACGCGAGCTTACTATGGGAAAGATGAGTCCGTACGAGCAGCGTTGGGTGTTTTCGGCTTTATCAAATATTCCGAATAAACATAGCTTCCTTCTCTATGTGGATATAGATAGGTTAAGAATACACGTTTTTTGGAAGGTTAAGGCCGAGTTGGTGAAACAGTTGTGACTAGTCACATAGCTCACTTAGAAGTTCTAAACGTTCTGGTTCAAGCGAAAAGACATTAGGTTGTGCAACGTAACAGTAAATATAATTCGTTATAACAAAGAGAGCCAGATAATGTACTGCGAGGCGTAGAAACAACATAAAAGCATATAAAAAGCCCATTCAATAAAAGCAAAAGGCCAAAGGAGACCAATCTAACTGTTTTGGTAGAAACGTTCGTTTTGTTTTTATTTGTAAAAGACGCATTGCCTACTCGTATTCCAGGGAACCGACGAATTGATGTGTTGCGTGTGTATTACACCATAAAATTTACTTTCTACCTACTTCCATGCAAACTAGTCGAAACGCAATGGAAGATCTAAACTGTGATTTTTGAAGGGAGTTTGGCAAAAGACACGCATATAAAATGTTAACTTGAAAGCTAATCAGCGCAAAATACAGAAAGCATAAGAACGAGTTTTCTTTTCCTTGCAGGAATGAATTTCAGCTGCCAGACAGCGTTGTGTTCGTTCACTTCTAGTTCTTGCTCTTCGTGTATTTCGCGTTGTTTTCTAGTTTTCATAATGCACCAACTAGCCCAACTCCATGCCTTGTTGAAAGGTCATCCGGTATATCGCACTGAACGCGTAATCTCTGATGCCTAAAATAACATCGACGACCTTAATTAAAAAAGAAAAAGTATTTGCTTTGCAATGGTATCGCGATAAACGCTAAGCTTCCCCCGTAAATGGGGGTTATTCGTTTTCCGAACGATTTACGGGCCGTGAGACGCGTGGGCATTTGTCAGAAGATAATTGAAGCAGTTTTCCTGGCATATTTTGGTACCATGAAACGATGAAGAGATTCGAGGCTTTCCTTAACTAACTGCAACAAGCCTACAACGTATGAGCCATCGAACTGCGATAAATTGGAATATCGGGAAGTTGCACTTCACGGAGCTCCCGCTAGCACGCCATAGTACATGACTGCTAACATAAATCGGACAATTCTTCGCTCCATCACTACACTGGCGGCATAAATAGCAAAAGCGAAGAAATCAGAGGCTTGCCGGTATCCCACAAAATGCATAGTGCTAGAAGCTGATGCGTCTACAATGAGCGTCATAAGGATCGTTATTTTTGTGTTGTGTTCAGGAAACCAACGATTCCACTGTCAGACGCTGAGTGGCCCAAGTACACTGCCGAGAACCCCGAATTCATCTACCTTCAGCCCAACAACTACACCCGGGGATTAGGTCCAAAGAAGGATCGCTGCGAATATTGGCGGCCCTATCTGCTGAAAAAGTAAGTAGCCTAAGATGTTTTTGTTTTTTTTTTATTGTTAAGAATCTAGAATACCAGCTCGTTGAGGAAAAACCCTTGTTGCAGGTAAAATGAAAATAAAAGTAGCTGTTAGATTCAAACTAAGTAGTTGATTCCATAGGCATAACTAAAATTTCTGAACACTGGCTCACATCGATTCTGTGGCAGTTCCGGCAGCCTCGTTATAACATGGTTCTAAATATTCACATTGGCACTTCACCGTAGTAATGAACACGTTTACCATTACAGGGCCCGTGTAACGGCCCATGTGCACATTCGAGTTTAGAACTCGTCTGAAGCCGCGTTTACATATATGCGACTTCAGCGCATTAACTCCACTCGTCCTTCGAATACAGCCGACGCGGCAACGTTTACATGAATGCGCACCAAGCCCTATGCAAAGATGGCGTCACGCCGTGTCAAAGCTCACCGGCCGCACCTCGTGACCACATTTTCCGGTGCATCTCACGGAAAGGCCTTTCGACGCTTCCGGAGAGCGTAAAAGATCGTGCCCGCTCTCTTCAATGCTGTGCAAAAAGTTACGAGACGGAAGAAACATCAAAACCCAAGCGTTATGGGCTCCGGGTCGGGCCGCTGGGCCACTCTGGATCAGAGGCGATGTGAGTGCGCGCGGCCTGGCGAGCGAGATTGTTTCCAACCGCTTTGTGGACGCCAGTGCGCTTCGCCTCGCCTAACGTTGCCAACCGCGACCGGACCCGGAGGCCGAAAGGCTCCGGCGCAGCCAGGAACGGCTCCGAGGTAGGAGCTGCTCGTTCTGCGCTACCCTGCAGTGCTCGGAGCTCTCGGCGTCGTTCGTGCTTGCGCCGAAGCCTCTAGGAACTCCCTCGGACGCGTAAGTCGTATTTCGCAAGTCCTGGACGGGGGCCGCCCTCTCCGAGCAGCTCAGTGATATTCCGCTCATTTAGTTCTGCAATAAAAGCTCTCGTTCCTACCTCGGGAGAAAACTGGGGGCGACAACACCGTACCTCTACCCGCCGCGGCCGACAAAGTTGGCTACCCACATCTCTCAGCTGTTCACTCGCTCCTACAGCCAGCGCCTTCCCATAATCCTCCCCTTTTCAAAATGCGATGCGACCTCCTTTACATGGGTTGAATGAATGCTTATTCGCCATCTCGATCATCTTCTGTCTAGAGACTTGAATGCGATGCGCTTCCCTAGCGCATTATGCCGTTTACATGACCCGATTGTATGCGACTACTGGATTCGATGCGATTAAGTTGCATTCATGTAAACACGGCTTGAGTGCGCGGAGGGGCGAGCTTGCGGCCAGAAGCGGCTGCTTGCGGCACGATGGGCGCCGTCGCATAGCGCTTCGCAACGCGCCGCAAGGGACTAGAGAGCGGCTCAACTTTGGACGCGGGAGAAGTCGTGGGAAAGCGTTGCGATAGACCAATCACAAACCGACAAAGGAGAGGAGGGTCACGTGTTCGCTCGCATTACTCGGCGATGCGTATCCGGTTCTCCGTTCGCGGAACCCGCTTTTTCGTTTGGGGGAGCGGTGGGGAATGCGCGAGCAAGTGTTCCCAGGGCAGCGATGGTTCAAGCTGGAGAAGCCAGCAGAATTGTCCCAAGATCGACCACTTCGATGCCGTCGCCGGGTGCCACTATGTTCCTGCGAATTTAGCGGGTCTACGCGTGATGTAAATCGCAGATGATGCGTTTTCACTGACGAAAGTAAGAAGCCGAGATCTTTTGGGAATAAACAAAACACCCGAATACTTTAAAATCACCAATGTGGCAGCGTAAATATGCGCCCTCTAAAGCTATAAAGAGGGAAAACAAAACAAGTTTGCTCACTTTAAATGGCTGAAGTCGTAGTTCGAAAGTGGATACGCTTCGGCGCTCCGGGTCATAAGAATGGCGAGCTTTCGTTGTATCGCTTATATTTCTTTCTTTCAAGTGATGGAACTGCGAAACAGATATTTAGTTAGGGAGTACTTGGGTTTACCGTTAGGGGTAGTGTTAAAGAGAAATGAGCATGCCACATAGTTACCTTACCTTCAACGCCGCTCTGTCTCTGCCACTCACTTTGAGCTGTTTGTAGTTGCTGTGTTCTCACATTCGCCTTTATTATTCGTGACAGAAAAACAACAACGACGACGACGACACCTACAGTGAAAACGCCACCCGGCCACAGACCTTCGGACCCCAGGAAGACGTCTTCGAAAGAAAAAACACTCGAAGGAAATGACATTTCGAGATCTTCCATGCCAGCACCGTCAGCAGTTATGTACGGTGTACTCATTCTTGCTGCCTTACGAGCTTTGATCTAAGAGAATAACAATAAAGAAGTGTATTTTTCGATTTACTTACGCATATATATATATATATATATATATATATATATATATATATATATATATATATATATATATAAATATAAGGAATGTAATATCGACGCATGCAAGCAGTTTAGAAAAGCTTTATGCCGCGCGAGCATTCATGCCAAATAACACTATTCTGGAAAATAATTTTTCTTCCCGACGCCTTTTTGATTTGTAATGCACAAGACCTGTTTAGAAATACAGCACAAGGACGGATAGTCAACGATGGACATAAAACGAGCAGCTATAGTCCTTTGCGGCTTCCTGCTCAACACCTTGAAGTTGACCAAAAGGTAACATCTTCTATAAAGATGAAAGGATAGGAGCCTCTCCTGCATCCATAGAACGACGTTTCGAATAGAGCAGTAGTTTGTACTACGTTTAATGTGACATCCTCATAACTCGGCTGCCATGATCATCCTCCTTCTTCCACTCTTTCCCCTTGCCTCGAAAATTTGTAGCAGGCAAAGAAGACTTGGTCCCACAGCGGCGACCTGCAGTACACAACATCCGTTTTTATTTCAAAGCAAATGTTGAAGTAAATTTAAAGAAGGTAGAATTTCAAAATGTGGTATATATTTACATCGATGTTAAATAAGCTCAAACTGGAGTAAGGAAACCGAAAATATTTAAATGTGGAAGGGACAGTAAATAATATAAACAGACGTCTCATAGACGTTTGTCTGTCTTCCTTTAGCAGTAAATTTTATATTTGAATGGTTTAAAAAAAATTAACACACGGGTCCCAGGTTGTTTAACAATGTAGCAAATTGACACCACCTCACCTGCAGTCTTAATGGATTTTTTTAAAGTAATAGATTATTCTGCGCCTAAAAAAAAAAAACAGGCGTTGCAGCAAAAAAATTGCTTTTAAAAATCGTGTTTCGACGATGTTTTGTGCTCTCATTTTTTTAAAAATCTTAATAAAACTGGTGTCACTATTTCCACCGAGTGGCTTGCGACACAGTAAGTTGTGGGTTATCAGAAACAGTAAAGAAAGGGCGCTATAAATAATGGTTTGTGACCTGTTTCTAAAGATGTTAAAAGTTTCAAAGATGTTACGCCCAGTGCACATGGTCTGCCTCGCTAACAGTGTGCACTGAGGTTTGACAAGGTGGAATACGTATGCGATCCCGGAAACACAATCTACGCTATGACAAAGCATATACAGGGTGCGGCGGCCGTAAAACGTTCACATTTGGCACGCCTAGCAAAAATCCAATTTCAAACGTACATACCTGAAATAGGGCACACGAACGTCGTTTATTCCAAAGTTTTTCGCCTATTTTCTTCAGATGTCAACTCGGGTGTAGGGAATTATTATAAAGATAACAAAAATGGCAGACGTGCATTTCCTATGGCCTATACCCGCCCGTTCGCCGTCTGCAATCTGGTTCGCGACGCCGCTCCCAGGTGGCGCACTAAACGCAAAAACGAGGGAAACGCCGCACGAAAGGCTGACGTTGGGCAAGACAATCGCGATGAAAAGTGATTTTAACGAAATGTATAAACGATTGTTGAAATTACCTGTTTCAATTCAAGTTTTGACAGATCGCCATGCAAGCAAGAAGGCACCATGATGTGACGAGGTAATTTATTAACAACATGGAATAACAAGTGGTGCTGCTACCGTTGCAGACAAGTTTGTATTAAGTTATCATTTCATTCTGATTTTTACAGGGCCGCTGTAGCTCATGAAGTAATATCTTTTTTCATACAGCTTGGCTATAATTAACACACATGTCGCAAGAAATATTTGGAGAAAAACAATCATATTAATAAGAGCTCCATTTACGGCGCTAGAGTCATTTCGGCGGGCCGGTGATGAAATGGCTGGTATTTGAGAGAGATAGTCGTCCTTTTGCTGGTTTCCCATTGGTACCTCTATGAGCAGCCTCTACTTTACTCTCTGCGTGCCGCAAGCTGCACGAGAGAAAAAGTAAGAGGGAAACTAATATTTTAAATTCCGCCAGGAAGTGGAAGTTGTGCGTTCATTCAATTGTTTATTCTTGAAAAATACATCTTCTGATACGCCTCTTCTGTTACGGCGATTTTAAATAATGTTGATGCTGCAGTGCATGGTCCTTTAAACCACTAGGGTTCGGCCGATTCGATGAGCCCGCCCTTCACAGACACGCAAAGCGGAAGTCGAGCTTCGTGCGCCAGGAAAGCTCTTTCGCGCATCCCATCGTCAATCTCGAGGAACGCGCCCTCAATTTTTTTTTTTTTTTAGCTCTTCCATGTTAGGGATCCTCTTCTTGTAGACAAGTCCTTTTATAAATTCCCATACGAAAGAGTCGCACATGTTTAAGTCGGGGGATCGTGGATGCCAGTCCATTTAGTCTAACCCCCGACCCATCCACCGCCGAAGAAACGTGTTATTGAGCCATGCCATCACACTCTTTGAGTAATGGGGAGCCACTACATCCTGCATGAAAAAGCAGTTTTTTTTTTTGTTATGTGGTACCTTTCAAGCTCAGGGAGTATTTCTATTTTGAGCATGTCCAAGTGGGCCTCTGCGTTAACGGTGTCATCGAAAAAAAGGGGCCCACTATGCCTTTATGCCAAATCCCACTCCACACTGTCACCGTCTGTGAAATTAGATGCGGTTCGTCCACGGCATGAGGGTTATCGTGAGCTCATATCCTGCTGTTCTGGCGGTTCACACGTCCATCAAGGTGAATGTTTGCTTCGTCACTAAATAAAAGAAATTGCAGGTTGCTCTTAATTCGCAACAACTCCTCGAAAAATTCTAAACGCAGGACGTTGTTGCCGTCGTGTAGGGTTTGAACAACTTGCATCTTGTACGGGTGCAAAATATTTTTCCGCAGAATCCGTCGTACGCTTTTTTTTCAGAAATTCCAAACAACCTGGTTGCTCGTCTTGTTGACAATTGCGAGTCGCTCTCAAAGACAGCAAGCATCACTTCAATGAGCTCCTCATTTTTCGGTAGGCTCTCACGTTCACTGACTGGATTCTTCTTTTTAAAGTCTTCTCCGCCCACAAAACGATCCGCCCAAGTCAAAATTGTCGGGCGTGAAGGCGGGCGTTTATGAAATGCAGTGCGAAATTTTCGTTGTGCTGTGGCCCACCAAGTTCCGCTCCACGTACCACTTCACTGACTGGGCACACTCATTTGCCGAGTATTGCGGTATCGCAGGGCGGAGCGGAAAATATTTTGATAAAAACTGCAGCAGAGAGTGCTACAAAAACAATAAATAGGAGAAATCAAGATGCCTCAGCAGCGGCACTCTTGATTCCAAATGACCGGGAACGAACCCGTCAACAGATAAGGAGACGACAAAGGAAGACACACGTTCGTCTGCTTTAGAATATATTTTTATTAAAGGAGGGCGTCTGTCAGTTTTTAAATTTCAAGTCAAAGGGCAAAATCGTTCATATATTTCGTTAAAATCATTTTTTATCGCGATTATCTTGCCTGACGCCAGCCTTTCGTGCGGCGTTTCCCGCGTTTTGCGTTCAGTGCGCCACCTGGGAGCGGCGTCGCGAACCAGATTGCAGACGGTGAACGGGCGGGTATAGGCAATAGGAAATGCACGTCAGTCATTTTTGTTATCTTTCTCATAATTCGTGACTCCCGAGTTGACGTTTGAAAAAAAAAAAATATAGGCAAAAAACTTTGGAATAAACGAAGGTCGTGTGCCCAATTTCAGGTATGTACGGTTGAAATTCGGTTTTTGCAGGTGTGCGAAATCTGAAAGTTTTTACGGCCGCACCCTGTACATTAAATGCCTTGCCCAGTGTGTTGTGTAGTCTAGGTTTCAAGAGAAACTGGTTTGGGTCACTGGGCGCTCACAGCGAGTAAATGGGCCCGCTTATGCATGCACTCGCCAGAGGGAGCAAGAATATAACAAAAAGAGCTTTAGTCATCATATATGAAATAAGAATTCGCAAAATATTTGTATGAAGGAACGTTCTATTGACCGATATAGTCGTGCGCATTTTTCCAAATAAAACTTCCAGTGTTTCTGCTTCGTTTTTGTTTTTGTTTTTGCTATATACTGTGTAGACTTTCAGGCTGAGGTCCTGCGAATGCCTTACGGAATTGGTAGGAACCTGAAACTAGGGCTGGGCGTCCATTAAAAATTTAACCCTATTAATCGCCACCTTTTAATCGATTAAATAATCGATTAATCGGTCTCGTTCATTTTCATGCGTACATATTATTGTTTAAAAGTAAAAATTGCATCTCTTTTTTGTGCTGAATTTGTGTTAAAAGACGCAATAATCTTATTTGTGAATCAAGTTAGATATACAGTTGAGAACAGTTTAAAAACACTCACACTCACGTATTATTATTTCAGCTTCAAGAGGCAAAAATGTTCGTTGATATTCTCCGGGAAGGGCGGCCTCCTTTGATTGCTCGCAGTAGTCTCTACTGCGCTAAACGGACACTCGCACGGCGTTGAAATCGCTGGGACACGTGTAACCTTCTGGACTTGTCTTAAGTTGCAAACCTCCTCTTTACAGTTTACCTTAAGTTAATATTTCACCTAAATTTTTCACTTCGTGTAGGTGTGCTCGTCCATGTCTGCATGGTGAAAGCATTTTTTTTAAATTTTGGTTCGTCGAATTTTTACCGATTAATTGGTTAAACAAATTAATCGCTATTAAAGCATTAATCTATGAATCGGTAGGTTGATCGCTCAATTGCCCAGCCCTACAAAACGTCTGCAAAATAATTGTTTTTTACTTCTTTTTAGCGGATACTAATTTAAAAGAAGCAGTGGATCCTATAATTGTTCTTCGGATGCTTATTCAGGCAGCTGCACAAATCGAATGTGAAGACTGCCTGGAGTTCTCAAACACACACCTCCTAGGCAAAACTAAACCGGTAACAGTTGACCTGAATCCTTCAGAGGTACTAGAAAAAAACGTATAAACAACAAATCGCTTGCGCCTACAAAGATCATCGGCGAACCGGTTGA